AATTAGGTTCGGGTGGGGGGGTGGTTGCTTGGTTTGGTTGTCCTTCGTTTCGACTGCAGCAAGTCTGCTTGGCTTCCTTCAAAGGGGAATGCCAAATGCAGGCTTCTCTACAAATATTTTCCCCATCCGAGCCCCAGCTGCAAATAAATTAAAAACGAAATATACATACATACATATATATATATACATAGCGTATGTATATATATATATATATTCTATTTCTATTTCTATATATTACTTTTGTTGATATATGTATCTAGAATCAGACCATCCTCTAAGAGAACTGACCCTAGGATGCCGGGTCGCGTCGGCAACTGTCTGAGGGCAGTTTCATGGGCCCTGAATATGGTACCTAGCCTCCTCTTAAGGGGTTCTGATGTTGGGGCCCCCTGAAGTTGGGGGTATCTACGGGGTACCCCCTTTAAGGGCCCACACTCAGGGACCATGTATCTACCCTTAGAAGCCTTTGGGACCCTTGACGACCCTAGAGGAGGCTCAGATCCAGAGCAGGCCGCAGCGGGGCCTGGTGGCCTAGTGTACATAAGCTGAGACGTAAGCTTCTATAAGCGTAAGAGTAGTGGCCTAGTGTACATAATTTTTTAGACTTAAGCTCTTACAAGCGTAAGAGAACCCAACAGCTTCTTAGTTCAAAGCTGCGGCTATCTCTCAGGGGATTAAGACTCCTAGCCCTGAGGTTGCACCCCTGAAGGTTCCTCTTGATATACTCCTAATATGGGTTTAGGGTTTAGGGTTTAGGGTTTAGGGTTTAGGGTTTAGGGTTCCTCTTATGGCCCTTGTACCGCCTTAAGGATCTTCTAAACGGGTCCGCAAGACCAAAACCCAAGGGTGCAACCTTAAGGGTCCGAGGTGGAATCCCGAGAATCTTCCGGGAAGCATCCCTCCTAAGCCCTAAAGCCCTAAACCCTAAACCCTGAACCCTAAACCCTAAACCCTAAACCCTAAACCCTCAAGCTGCTCCTATCTTAGGGGAAGCACCCCTCCGAAGCCCTAAACCTTAAGCCGGCTGGGCAGGAGCGGGATCAGTTGGTCAGCGAGGCCCTGCTTGAAAACAACCAAGCCTGGGAGGTTTAGGGTTTTACGGGTTTAGGGGTTTAGGGGTTTAGGGGTCTAAGGGGTTTAGGGTTTAGGGGTTTAGGGTTTAGGGTTTAGGGTTTGGGGTTTGGGGTTTGGGGTTTAGGGTTTAGGGACTTGTAAGGGTTGGGAGGCTGAGGTTTGCGGGTGTCGGGCATTCACGAAGTTTCAGGGTTTAGGGATTTGGGGCGGGGGGGGGGGGGGGGGGGGGGGGGTTGGACTGTTCCGGACTATGTGACAAGTTTTTTTTTATACCAGGACTTCACAGGACTTTGGGTTTCCTAGGTTGCACAGTAGTGCCCTTACCCCCTTCTTTTTGGGGGGGAGAGAGGTTCCCTGCTAGCCCCCTGTGAGCCAAAAAAAGGTCACCCCTTTCAAATCCTAGCTTACTGGGCAACCTGGTTTCGTTTTTTTGGGTTTAGGGTTTAGGGTTTAGGGTTTAGGGTTTAGGGTTTAGGGTTTAGGGTTTAGAGTTTAGGGTTTAGGGTCTAGGGTTTAGGGTCTTTTGGAGTTGGGTGCCGGGGCTGCCAGGGTTGAGGGAAACAACAAGAGGACTCCGTGTATTGAGGGGGCATCCCCTGCCCTCGGAAGGCACCCTACAAGGCTTCTGAAATATGTGGTCTTGGGTTTTAGGGTTTAGGGGTTTAGGGTTTCGGGTTTAGGGTTTAGGGGTTTAGGGTTTAGGGGTAAAGGGTTTAGGGGTTTAGGGTCTATGGAGTCAACCCTAAACCCTAAATCCGAACCTTAAAGATCTCTGGAGGCCTTTGCGGTATTAGCAACGTCTGCAAAACAAACCGCACACACTACCCTACGTTTGGCGTACATACGTGTAGGGCTCAGGGGTTCAGGATTTTGGGCTTACAGGGTCTAGGGTTGTCTTGTTTGAGGATTTATTAATTTAAAATTTCCCGTCATGTTCTGTGTCAGTTGCTTGTAAAGGCCACACCGTGTCCTGCCCTGCAGTCCTAGGCTTTGACCCTAAACCCTAAACCCTAAACCCTAAACCCTAAACCCTAAACCCTAAACCCTCTTCCCTTTTAACAGCAGAGCCCTGTCGAGCGGCATCCACCCAGGCGCCCCCATACTTGTCCAAGAGGTAGAGCCTGGCTTAGGGTTTAGGGTTTAGGGTTTAGGGTTTAGGGTTTAGGGTTTAGGGTTTAGGGTTTAGGGTGTAGCACGGGTCAGCTGAACGCAATAGTGTGAAGACATGCCCACCCCAAGGCCACCCAATCACAACTCATTGCGAACCAAACCGGAGCCAGCCCAAGCCAAGCCAACCATTCACAACTCTGTGCCCATTGATCAGACGCTGATCCCGGCGCCTTCTACGGCCACATCATTTCTGCCGTGGAACACGTGCAGGAAGATTCGCTGTAAGCGGCTTCGGCATTCGGGGGATGCCCTGCAAGACGCAGACTTCGCGGCTGATTAACTTCAAGTTCCGCGATGGGTCAGAGTCACAGCCGGCGCTGCTAGGTTTTTGGGTCAAACGGTTTTGGGTCCAGAGGAGGATTCGGTTTTCGAGCTTGGGGAATTACTCTGCCTGGCAACAGGTGGACGATCTCGTGGAAGAGCTTGCTGCAGCGGAGGCAGTGCAGTATGTTTCCATGCACAGTCCACTCCAGGATCTGGTTACAGGTTTGAGGCTTTTTAGGGTCTCGGGCTTAGGGGTAAAGAGTTCAGGGCTCAGGCTTTCGGGTTTCCTACGCAGTCACCAGTTCATCACCACTTCATGTCAGTTGCGGGGCAATCGGAGCACAGGTGAGGACATGCACAACCAGCAGAAACTTGCCTCCCTTGCAACGCCCAAGACGGCTCATCTTAATTCGGTGGGTAGTTGCTCAAATTGAGGGTCCCTTTTTTGGATACCCATTGGAACGCGGCAGCCTTTAAGAAAGGATCCCAAAGAGGGACCCTAACCCTAAACCCTAAACCCTAAACCCTAAACCCTAAACCCTAAACCCTAAACCCTAAACCCTAAACCCTAAACCCTAAACCCTAAACCCTAAACCCTAAATTCTCTCTTTGGGCTTTTATCGACCCGGCCAGGCACGGCTAACGGAGAGAAATGAGGAGGCCGCCAAAGGCGAGCAGGAGCAAGAGGCAGCTGTTACAGGGTTCTTAAGGGAGGGGGGGGGTTCAGGGTTTAGGGTTTAGGGTTTTAGGTTTAGGGTTTAGGGTTTAGGGGGGGTAGGTACACGAGGAACCTTCGGGAAGCTTAGGGAGCCTTGGGGAGTACTGGGGAGTATTGGGGAACCTTGTGTTGCATACCTCCCTTTAACCGCCCTCCCTGAAGAACACTAACCCTAAACCCTTAACCCTAAACCCTAAACCGTAAACCCTATAAAACTAGTTCTTGAACGCCTTGGGGTTGAGTTTGGGGGTGGTTCAGGGTTGAGGGTTTAGGGGTCTTGGAGGGGGGTTTAGTAGGGTTTTGTAGGGTTTAGGGTTTAGGGTTTAGGGTTTAGGGTTCAGGGTTCAGGGTTTAGGGTTCAGGGTTTAGGGTTCAGGGTGACTTGGCCTTTTCTCAGGGGAGGTAGGGCCGATGGTGTCGGAACTGAGGTATCTGCGGAAAGAGGGGCGGGTTAAGTGTATGCAGAAGCCATGTGGTGGTGGGAGCCACAAAACGAAAAGCTCCAGCAGTTACCCGATTCCTCACTCGGCCCCTCGGCCTGACCCAGCATCACTTAGCAAGTGACGAAACAGAACTGAAACTCGCCCACCTCCCCTCCCCTCCCCCCCCTTCCCAAATTTCAAAAGCAAAGAAGCCTAAACCATAAACCCTAACCCTAAACAAAAACAGAAGAAGGCGCTCGACTACTACCGCCAGAACGAGTACGAGCTCAAAACCTGGGAGTGCGAGCGCTTGGGGGAATCTCGGAGGCAGTTCGATGCCAGGGCAGCTGGGGCTTAGGGTTTAGGGTTTAGGGTTTAGGGTTCAGGGTTTGGGGTTTGGGGTTTAGGGTTTAGGGGATTCAAGGCTAAGGGTTCGAGGTTCAGGGTTTGGGTTGTGCAAAATCACCCCATCCCATGTGATACGAATTTATTTTCAATGTCAGGGTTGCAAAGCAATCGCCCTGTGGGTTTTCACAGTACGGGTGGGTTGATACCTGGGTTTGGGAGGTAGACGGTGGTCCCACATGGGAAGATGTGATTCTGCGGTACATTCATGGACTTATTTCCCCGAGATAGGCCTCCCCCTCCCCCCGCACCAGTGCCCAAGAGGGGAGTGGTGGCTGGTGGGGGAGGGTTGGGTTGGCTTTGGGGTTTAGGACATTTTAGGACCGAGAAAGTTGGCACGAGCTTGATCTTGCTGCTAAGGAGGCACTGGCAGAGAGCCGCTATGCCGCTGGGCTTTGTGAATTTAGTGCTGCGGTATGCATTGCTCAACTTTGAGGGCCCCGGCTGGTTGGCTTGTGCGGACTAAAACAGTCATTACTCTAAAAAAGGAGACGGAATACCATTCTATGGTATCGATGGAGGGAGAGTCGACTTTAACTTCAAGGAGAGTTTGATTCTGATTCTACATAGCGATCCAGACCCTCTGCTTTCGAGTTTCTCAGCCTTTCTGTCCCTTGCAGCTACAAGACACAATCTGGAGCTCGAAGACAAAGCGGCAGAGCGATAAGACAAGCTGCAAGACAACATCTGGAGCTATAAGACAGACCAGTTGATCGATAAGGCAAGCTACAACACAAAATCTGGAGCTGTACGGCAGCCTTCCAGGAACCATGAGGTTGCGTGCCATGATGGGGGTTTTGGCCCCGGTCCTTGTGGCAGCGTTTGCGGCCTCTCCGATGAGGACGGCCTTGCCGCCACACCTGGAGGTGCTCCGTCGTGAGGCGATGCCAAGAACTCCAACGACACGAAGGGGGCTTGAAGAAGCCAAAGCGGTGTACCGTCGCGCTATGGCAGCAAGCGGGCACATTCGTGCACACCTGGGTGCAAGTCTGAGTCGTCGCTCCGCACCGGTGCGGCAGCAGCCAGTGACGGGAGCGTCACCACGCCGAGTGTATCCGACCGATTTCGGCGCCGACCCGACGGGGAAGACAGACTCGACTGACGCGATGAAAAAGGCGATGGCCGCCTTGCTGGATCCGAGTAAGGCCTCGAATCGTTCCATGGCAGCTGGAATCAAGGACTTCGGCACGGCGACGTTGGATTTGGCTGGCGGCGAGTACCTCATTTCGGAGCCGCTTGTCTTCCCGACGTATGTGGGAAATGTCCAGGTGGTCGCTGGGACTTTGCGAGCATCAAGCAGCTTCCCGACGGACGCGTGGCTCGTGATGGTAGGTTCGCCAGCATGCACACCACAGCAGCAGGGCTGCTGCAATGAGTTCATCAACTTTGCTGAGATGCTGTTCCTATATCCCCCTTGGGAACCTTGTTTTATTTTGTTCATATGAAGCCCAAGAGGATACTAAAAAAATGATTTTTCATTAAGGTTCTAAAGGGGAGTCTAGGTTCGACTCTTCTCACAGAGCTGCTGGGGGTGTGTATGTAGCCCACACCATGGGAACGACCATTGGGCCTTCGGTGTCTTGGTAGCCCAGTGGTGCCCTTTACCCTTGATTTTTGGGTTCTGGTTTCCCTTATAAAATAACCAACCCAAAAAAGGGTGCCCTTATTATGAAATGGTTACTGGCCTCCCAAGGTGTTCTTTCACGGTTACCGCAAGGCGGGCATTGACATCGAAGGTGGGCACGAAGTTATGGTTCAGCAAGCATGGCTGTCAGAGTTCTACTGGGACGAGAAACATGACCAGACGGAGTCAATTGGGATCCTCATCAATGGCAACGATCACTACCTCACGGACACCATTTTGTTCGACTACTCGAAGGTCGGAGTCGAGGTGAATCATGCTGCCAACATATTGGATGGAGTCCACACATGGAACGGCGGAGGCGTTGGCATTGCAATTCACTCCCCACAAAATCGACTGCTTGGGTGTTATCTTGATTTCAACACGCTTTTGATCACCCACCCCGTGAACGTGTTCGTGGAGGGTGGCTTCTTCCTGGATACCAACGCAGTGCTGCAATCTACTGAGGACTCAAAGCTCATTGACGGGCTGGTTTTCCGTGACAACGACTTCCGGAACATCAACGTGCCGTCCATCGAGATAAATGGCAGTTTCTCCGCCGGCGGCTGCTTTGACATCCAGGATGAGCGGTCGGTGACGGCGCCCACTGTTCGGACGTCCCGTGCCCGCCAGTCGATGAGACTGGAGAAGGCCACAGTGTTCTCCTTCGACTTCGATGAGTTGTTGCTGCCGGTCATTGAGGAGGTGATGTACTCGGTCACCATCGAAGGCACTGGCTTTCCACGCCACGCTGCTCGTGCTCCAAATGGCACAAAGGTCACCATTGAGCTCGATGAGCCGATCACAGGTGCTGTGACGGTTGAGGTGGTGCAAGGCTTGCAAGGCTGCCGGAAGTCAAACGGCAGAGCCGCAACCTTGTTCAGCGTGTAAATTTGATCTTGACACAAAAAAAGGTATCGGCAACATCGCGTCAGGCACATCCACTTAGTGCGAGGAGGTGGCATAGGGTTTAGGACTCGAGAAACCTTCCCGGATCCCTGACGTTAAGCCCTACCCTAAATCCTAAAACCCGAAACCCTAGTCTGGTGGCGCCCCTACCAAGGCCCCTTAGCCCAAAAATGCACCCGAAGCCGACATTGTCAATTCTGCATCAAGTCAGGCGTTCTTTTGTCCTAAAGCACCATGACGCATCAAAAAAGCTTTAAGTTGCAAGCTCCAGCCTAGATTGAAGTTTAGCTAGTGATTAAGGACTGCAGCGCAGGTTTTAGGGTTCTTAGCCCGAAAAGAAAGCCCTGCGATTCAATCCCTGAACCCATACTTTCACTGCAATCCCTAAGCCCCGATTTCAATCCCCGCCTCCTCACCTCCCCGTGGCCGCGTAAAGCTCAACCCCCTTAAGCCTATCAGGCACGCCGAGTAACGCGGATTAAAGCCTATTAATCCCTAAACTTGACCTTAAAACCTGAGTGAGAGTCCTACTCCCTTTGATCGTTGGGGAAAGAACTCGATGGAAGCTAGATACCCTAATCTTGGGGGGGTTGGAAAAACTACTAGCAGGATTCCTTTATGGTCCCCATATGAATATACGATATGTACCCCCAAGACCCTGCTATACTTTGATTTCAGCCCCTACATTAACCTTTGGAAGTTCAAGCCACCAGAGGCGACGAAGCAGATGACCAGTCGCTGGGAGGCCGCGGTGGCACAGGTGGAAGAGTTCCTTGGCATAATGGGTTTAGGGTTTAGGGTTTTGGGGTTTGGGGTTTGGGGTTTAGTAGATTAGAAGAAAACCCTGCTTGTTTAGCGGTGTGAGGAGTTTTGCAAAAAGTTTTTGAGGTTGAAGGGGAGCAGGGTGAAGACTTCATTGAGGGTTACGGGGTTATGGTTCTAGGCTCTGGGGCTTTCGGGATGTTTTAAGGGTGAGAACCCTAAACCCCAAACCCTCCTGTAGGGTTTAGGTTTTTGTTTCCCCGATCTCTGGGTTTCTGTTTTTCAAGGTTTTGTTGGGTTTAGGGGTTTAGGGTTTAGGGTTCAGGGTTTAGGGTTTAGGGTTTACGGTTTATGGTCTGGGGTGCAGATCTCCCTATCCCCGAACACCGCAAGACCTGAAGCTTGAAAGTCCTCCCTCGAATGCCCCTAACCCCTTGGCCTCAACACCCTTTGACCTCTAGACGTGGGATGTTCCCCCTTATACTGACAGCCCTTAATAGGGATTATAATAGGGGTACTATAATTCCCTATTAAGGACTGGGTTTAGGGTTAAGGGTTTAGGGTTTTAGGGTTTTAGGGTTTTAGGGTTTTAGGGTTTTAGGGTTTTAGGGTTTTAGGGTTTTAGGGTTTTAGGGTTTTAGGGTTTTAGGGTCTTAGGGTCTTAGGGTCTTAGGGTCTTAGGGTCTTAGGGTTTTAGGGTTTTAGGGTTTTAGGGTTTTAGGGTTTTAGGGTTTTAGGGTTTTAGGGTTACTATGGGTTACTCTAATTCCCGATTAAGGACTGCTAGCATAAGGAACCTCCCCATCTAGACCCACATCCCCAAGCGCAAGTCTCTCTACCTTGAACCTGCAGCTTGACGACTCAAGCCCCACCTGCCTCTCAAAACGCAATCCCCCCCCCCCCCCCCCCCCTTGAAGTGGAGGCTGCGTGAGGAGATACAGGAGGAGCGCAGCTTCCGGCCCCTGGGCTCATGGAATTGTTGAAGAGTTCAAGTTTCTATGTTTCGGTTTAGGGATGAAGGTTGGCATGCTACTAACAGTCCTTATTAGGGATTGCAATAGGGGGTACTAGAATCCCTGTTCAGGACTGCTTGTGCCAAAAAGAAAATCCCAAGTTAAATATCGTGTTGCCTTAAGGTTCTATAGGGAAGTCATGGTGGATGTCCCGCAGAGTTCGGAGTTTTTGTTTCAGGGTTTAGGGTTTAGGGGTTCATTGTTTACGTCCTAGAGCTGCGTGGAACTAGGATGATGCTATTCGATATGAGGCCACACAACTCAAAGCCCAAACTCTAGGCATAAACCCTAAACCCTAAAAGCCTCTTACGCATGCATGAACGAAATCCTCACTGCGGGCCTGCCCAAGGCCTCGCAACCCGCTCTTGGAGCCTAGTTCTCTTGGGGTCTTAGACTACAGGTGTTGAGATCAAGGTTTTAGGGTTTCGGGTTGAGTCTTGGGTTAAGGGCCTGATTTCATGGAGGCTTTGGGGTCTCACAGAGTCTCACGTCTAGGATTGGAGTGTAGCTTACTGGTTCTTAGTACGTACTCGATATCCCCCTGTAAAAAGGCATTCACGAGATTAGAGAGGGTACCGAATTCTCCCATCTGCTACGAAGTTACTAAACCGCTTTTTCGCCAGCAAATCTGGATGAAACCCAACCCCTCGACCTAAACCTCTACACCTCAAAGCCTCAGAACCTCAAAACCTCAACGCCTCAAGACCTCTCAGCCACAAAACCCTAAACACCAAACCTCAAAACCTCAACACCCTAAACCCTGAATCCAACCTCAAACCCACAAAGCCCTAAACCTCTAAACCCTAAACCTGAACCTCAAAAACCTAAACCCTGACTGAACCTCAAAATCCTAAGCCTCAAAATCCAAACCTTAAACCCTAAACCCTAAACCCTAAACGCCAAACCCTAAACCTTAACACCCTAAATCCCAAACCCGAAACCTCAAACCCTACACCTCAAGACCCTGAGCCTCAAAACCCGAAACCCCAAAACCCTAAACCTCAAAACCCTAAACCGCAAAAGCCTAAGACCTCAAACCCCTAAACCCGAAAACCCGAAAACCTCACGACCTTAAACCCTACAACCCCAAAACCCTACACCCTAAACTTCAAAACCCTAAACCTCAAAGCCCTAAACACCCTAAGCCCTAAACCCTAGCCCTAAACCCTAAACCCTAAACCCTAAACCCTAAACCCTAAACCCTAAACCCTAAACCCTAAACCCTAAACCCTAAACCCTAAACCCTAAACCCTAAACCCTAAACCCCTCGACCCAGGATGGCCTCCCCAGTGGCTTCCCCACCCCTCCGCCGCCGCTCCGCGCCTCCCCGGAAGAGGCTGCTGGAGACGGTTTAGGGTTTAGGGTTTGGGGTTTGGGGTTTGGGGTTTAGTTTCGGGTTTAGAGTTTAAGTTTGCGGTGGGTTTGGGGTTTTTAAGGGTTTTTAGGGTTTTTAGGGTTTCTAGGGCTTTTAGGGTTTTCAGGGTTTATAGGGTTTATAGGGCTTTAAGGGTTTTCGGCGTTTCGGGTTTGTGGTTTGGGGCATAGAGGGTTTGGGGTTTTGGGTTCAGGGCCTGGAGTTTAGGGTTTAAGGTTTAGGGTTTAGGGTTTAGGGTTCAGGGCTTAGGGTTTAGGGTTTAGGGTTTAGGGTTTAGGGTTTAGGGCGGCGGTGTGGGGTTTAGGGTCTATAGGGTTTAGAGTAGAAGTCTTAAGGGGTTAGGGGCTACGGCTTGGGGGTTGTTCACCCTAACCCTAAAAATCCGAAGGGTCCATGTACCGGCTGCCCGGTAGGAACCTCAACTTATCCCCTTTCTCTGGGGCGAGTTTCCCTTATAAAGTACTGAGGTCATACAAGTTGTTTAGATACCCTGAACCCGAAACCCGAAACCCTAAACAACCCTAAACCCTGAGTAAAATTGTGGGGTTCCTGGTGGGTCTGGGGTTTGGGGTCTGGGGCTGAGACTTAAAGGTCAAAGGGTTTTGTGCGTCAAAACCTCCCCGGTGATGCTGGCATTTTCACAATCAAGCCGAAAAGGTTCCTGCCCTGGTTACATCTAAGGGCTTAGGGCGTAGGGCTTAGGGCCAAGGATCGACCCAGTTCGTCGATGGGTTGAATTGAAAGGGAAGACCTCAAGGGCTTGGGAGAACGGTTTGGTTTGAAGTTTCCCTTGAAACTGAATATCCTAAACCCTGAAACCCTAAGCCCTAAGCCCGTGGACCCTGAACGGTGAAATCCTAAGCCCTAAAAACCCCTAAACCCCTATAACGGTCAGTTCCCCAACGTAAGGTCCCTTTGGGGATCTCTGTGATACTACAACCCATTCAGGGCTTAGGGCTCAGAGAACAGACCTTTCAACCTCCCAAGCCGGGTCCCAAGAACCCTGCAACCCTACGCCTTTATCCCCTGATCTTTTACACCCTAGACCCTAAACCCCTAAACTCCCTGAGCCTCTAAACCCCCCAAAAACTCTCAACCCCTTAATCACTGAGCCTGAATCCTGTCGCTCTTATGCTCCTCATGAAGTGGAGGAGTCCCTGATGAGTCGGACATGCTTCACCAGAATCCTGCGGTTTACGCTTTAGGGTTTAGGCTTTAGGCTCTAGGGTTTGGGGTTTAGGGTTTTGGGGTTTAGGGTTTAGGGTTTAGGGCTGAGGGAACTCCTGGTGCGTCGCACAATTTGTAGATTGGGAGAGCTGGCCATACCAACTCCCCAACCTTCCAGCCCTTGAACCTCAATCCTTCAGCCCGAATGCTCTAAACCATACATGACCCCTAAACCCTAAACCCTACACCCTAAACCCTAAACCCTAAACCCTAAACCCTAAACCCTAAACCCTAAACCCTAAACCCTAAACCCTAAACCCTACATTACCCCTAACCCTACAGAATCCTAGCCACTCCCCCCCGCAATGGCCAGGAGCGACTGGCACCTGCAGGCTCGCATCCAAGAGTTGGAGGTGCCAACGGGATGTGTGCGCGTGCTCGCGAGCGCAGTACTCTTGATTTTCATGTCCATTCTTACTGTGATTCTCTTACGACAATTGTTTGCGGGAGGGGGTGGAGGGGTGGAGCGGGGTGGGGGGGGGGCGGGGGTGCGGGGGTGGTTTAGGGTTGAGAGTGCAGAGTTCAGGGCCTATGCTGTAGTGTTCGCGCTTACCTTGAGGGTTTTGGATTTTGGGTTGGGTGAGGGGATGTAGGGGCACTTGCCC